ACAGCCACAGCTCAGCCCTCGCTGCCGCCCTGCGTGAGCGTGACGAGGCGCATGCGAAGGCTCTGAGCGCTCGCGAGAAGGAGCTCGCCGACAAGCACGCGGACGCGCTCGCCGAACAGAAAGCCGGGCTCGTCGGCGGACACGAGAGCACGATGGCAAACACCGTGGCCCGCCACGAGGAACAGCTTGCGTCGCTCGCCCGCCAGCATCAGTCGGAGCTCGAGTCGTCGACTCGGGCACTCGAGGTCGACAAGGATCACGAGCACTCGACGAAGCTCGCGGCCGCGCTCCGAGAGCGCGACGAGGCCCACGGAAAGGAGCGTCAGGCCCTGGAGTCGAGCCTCAAGGATCGTCACAAGAACGAGCTCAGCTCCCGAGACGCGGCGCACACCGACGCCGTCAACGAGATCAACGACCGGCACAAGAGCGACTTTGCCTATCTCAAGGAGAATCACGACGCGGAGCTTTCCGCGGCCGTCGAGTCTGCCTCGTTGGAGAAGGATCGGCACATGCGCTCGGCTTTGACGGCTCAGAGCCAGGAGCACGACGCGGCACTCGCTCAGGCCATCGCCGAGCGCGAGGCGGAGCTTCGGGCTCTGCACGACCAGGAGCTTGCCTCGCGCGGCGATGCCCACGAGCGAGCGACCGAGTCGGCCGCCGAGGCTCACGCGCGCGCGACCGAGTCGGCTGCTGAGGCCCACGCCCGAGCGCTGGAAGAGGAGCGCGGGCGTGCAGCGGGAGAGCTGCAGTCTGAGAGGGCGACCATGGATACGCTTCATCGTGCCGAGCTAGAATCAGAGGCCGAAAGGCACAAGGAGACGCTCTCCCAGGCCGCGTTTGAGTACGAGCAGGCTGTCAAGGCGACGCTCATAGAAAAGGACGAGGAGCACGCCAAGCTACTGGCGGACGCCGAGTCGAGCCTGTCGGCTTCGGCCGAGGCGCGCCTGCGGGAAGCGGACGAGCTTCTGCGTTTTACGGCGTTCCGGGCGGCGTCGAAGATGGCCGACGGTGTCCTCACTCGCGGCGCGATCCAGGGCGTACTTCGCAGCTTCCGAGTGTGGGCGATGTACACCCACATGGCCGGTGTGGCCTCTGCCAAGGAGGTCGACCACGACGTCGCCCTGCGCGACGCGGTCACTCATACCCGCAAGGCCATGTCGAGGGCCGCGGCGTGTGGGACGATGGCCCAAGCTGTGGCTCACATGCGATACAGCAGCCTCTCGCGGGCGTGGCACACGTGGCACAAGGCGGTCCGCAAACTTGGAGAGCTCGAGGAACGCGAGCAGGAGGTTGGCAGGGCCGTCGGCAGCGCCGAGACGGAGAAAGATCGTCTGCACGGCGCGGCGCTTCAGTCGCGCGAGGACGCGCACGCGGCCGAGCTCCAGGCGAAGGCAGACGCTCACGCTGCCGAGCTCGAAGCCAAAGCCGACGCCCACGCGGCCGCTCTCAAAGCGAAGGCGGACGCCCACGCCGCGGCGCTCAGCGCTCGTGAAGATGAGCTCCTCGCCGGGCACAAGTCCGCGTTGCAGACCAGGGCCGACCAGCACGCGACCGAGATCGACGAGGCGCAGAAGTCGCACCAGCAGCAGCAGGACATGCTTCGAAGCAGGCACGAGGCGGAGCTTGCGTCCGCGACGGAGATGCTCGCCCTCGAGAAGGACAGCGCGCACAACTCGCGTCTCGTGTCCGAGCTCCGGGCTCGCGACGACGAACACGCCAAGACGATGGAGGCTCGTGAGAAGGAGCTCGCGGAGAAGCACGCGGCACTCCTCGCGGAGCTGCGATCGTCGTTGACGGCGGCTCACGACGCGGCCATGGCCGAGACGCTCGGACAGCACGAGGAGCAGCGCGCGACGCAACAGCGCCGGCACGAAACGGAACTCGCCGCCAAGACATCAGCTCTGGAAATCGAGAAGGACCGCGAGCACACAGCGAAGCTCGCAGCGATGCTCAGGGAACGCGACGAGGCTCACGCGAACGAGCGCCGGTCCGCGGAATCTAGCCTAGCGGACCGCCACAAGAATGAACTCGACGCTCGAGATGCGTCTCATGCTAAGACCATGTCTACGATGCAGGCAGGTCATAAAGAGGCGATTACTGCCATGCAAGAGAAGCACGCCGCGTCGCTCGAATCTGCGACTGAGCTCTTGGCTCTCGAGAAGGACCACAGCCACAGCTCAGCCCTCGCTGCCGCCCTGCGTGAGCGTGACGAGGCGCACGCGAAGGCTCTGAGCGCTCGCGAGAAGGAGCTCGCCGATAAGCACGCGGGCGCGCTCGCTGAACAGAAAGCCGGGCTCGTCGGCGGACACGAGAGCACGATGGCTGACACCGTGGCCCGCCACGAGGAACAGCTCGCGTCGCTCGCCCGCCAGCATCAGTCGGAGCTCGAGTCGTCGACTCGGGCACTCGAGGTCGACAAGGATCACGAGCACTCGACGAAGCTCGCGGCCGCGCTCCGAGAGCGCGACGAGGCCCACGGAAAGGAGCGTCAGGCCCTGGAGTCGAGCCTCAAGGATCGTCACAAGAACGAGCTCAGCTCCCGAGACGCGGCGCACACCGACGCCGTCAACGAGATCAACGACCGGCACAAGAGCGACTTTGCCTATCTCAAGGAGAATCACGACGCGGAGCTTTCCGCGGCCGTCGAGTCTGCCTCGTTGGAGAAGGATCGGCACATGCGCTCGGCTTTGACGGCTCAGAGCCAGGAGCACGACGCGGCACTCGCTCAGGCCATCGCCGAGCGCGAGGCGGAGCTTCGGGCTCTGCACGACCAGGAGCTTGCCTCGCGCGGCGATGCCCACGAGCGAGCGACCGAGTCAGCTGCTGAGGCCCACGCCCGAGCGCTGGAAGAGGAGCGCAGGCGTGCGGCGGAGGCCTTTGACGCTGAGAAGGCGTCGCTGAACAAGCTCCACCGTGCCGAGCTTGATTCTGAGTCCGAGAAGCACCAGGAGACGCTCTCTCAGGCCGCGCTCGAGTACGAGCAGGCTGTTCAAGCGACTCTTGCTGAAAAGGACGAGGAGCACGCCAAGCTACTGGCGGACGCCGAGTCGAGCCTGTCGGCTTCGGCTGAGGCGCGTCTGCGGGAAGCGGACGAGCTTCTGCGTTTTACGGCGTTCCGGGCGGCGTCGAAGATGGCCGACGGTGTCCTCACTCGCGGAGCGATCCAGGGCGTACTTCGCAGCTTCCGAGTGTGGGCGATGTACACCCACATGGCCGGTGTGGCCTCTGCCAAGGAGGTCGACCACGACGTCGCCCTGCGCGACGCGGTCACTCATACCCGCAAGGCGTTGATGCGGGCGGGCGGCATGAACGCCATGGCCAAGGCCGCAAATCATATCCTCCGCTACCGTCGGCATCGCGCCTGGGCCAGGTGGCTCGCCCAAGCCCATCTAGAAAGACATCTTCTGTCCGCTGCGACGAAGCATGCGGCGGCCGTGGACAGGGCCGTCGACAGCGCCGAAACGGAGAAAGATCGTCTGCACGATGCAGCGCTTCAGTCGCGCGAAGACGCATATGAAGCCGAGCTCAAGGCGAGGGCCGAAGCTCACGCGGCCGAGCTCCAGGCGAAGGCAGACGCTCACGCTGCCGAGCTCGAAGCCAAAGCCGACGCCCACGCGGCCGCTCTCAAAGCGAAGGCGGACGCCCACGCCGCGGCGCTCAGCGCTCGTGAAGACGAGCTCCTCGCCGGGCACAAGTCCGCGTTGCAGTCCAGGGCCGACCAGCACGCGACCGAGATCGACGAGGCGCAGAAGTCGCACCAGCAGCAGCAGGACATGCTTCGAAGCAGGCACGAGGCGGAGCTTGCGTCCGCGACGGAGATGCTCGCCCTCGAGAAGGACAGCGCGCACAACTCGCGTCTCGTGTCCGAGCTCCGGGCTCGCGACGACGAACACGCCAAGACGATGGAGGCTCGTGAGAAGGAGCTCGCGGAGAAGCACGCGGCACTCCTCGCGGAGCTGCGATCGTCGCTGACGGCGGCTCACGACGCGGCCATGGCCGAGACGCTCGGACAGCACGAGGAGCAGCGGGCGACGCAACAGCGCCGGCACGAAACGGATCTCGAATCCGCGAGGGAGCTCCTGGCTCTCGAGAAGGACCAGCAGCACACCACTGCGCGTGTCACGGCTCTGCGTGAGCGCGACGAGGCGCACGCGAAGGCCCTGAGCGCTCGCGAGAAGGAGCTCGCCGACAAGCACGCGGGCGCGCTCGCCGAACAGAAAGCCGGGCTCGTCGGCGGACACGAGAGCACGATGGCTGACACCGTGGCCCGCCACGAGGAACAGCTCGCCTCGCTCGCCCGCCAGCATCAGTCGGAGCTCGAGTCGTCGACCCGGGCCCTCGAAGTCGACAAGGATCACGAGCACTCGACGAAGCTCGCGGCCGCGCTCCGAGAGCGCGA